GGGGTCGTCATGTTTTGATCAACATTTTCTAAGATTTTAACCAAGTAAAAATTGTTCCTAAAAATGTTGTCGACGGGGGGGGGGGAGGGGGAATGGCGAAGGTGAGGTCGAAAAACTTCCGGACTAACATAAGCAAATTCAAAATTTTTCGACCAAGATGAGCAAGGCTTCCAAATTTTTTCACCGCAAACATCACAAAAGCTTTAAAATTGTTAAAATTTCGAACCATTTCATAACTTTGGGCAACTTCGACCATCTTTTATCCCAAACTTTTACCAAATTTTTCCCAGTTTTACCTTCAATTCTAAGCAAATATCAGTTCCATTTTGACCAACTTTGGGCAAATATCACTTCCATTTTGACCAACTTTGATCAACGTTTGAATTATTGCGGGGGGTGTTACACCCGCCCACATTCCCCCTTTTAGCAACGTCTCTGCGAAGTTTGCCGTTTTTCAGTCATTTTGTATTACGCACGGGAAATTGATACCTTTTTTCAGAAAGCGGTATCAATTTCCAGTGCGTAATACAAAATGACTGAAAAACGGCAAACTTCGCAGGGCTATATTATCCGCATTTTACAACATTTCGCAACGAAACTTCGGAATATTACTAATTTTGTGGTGCTCTTTCAAGCTGTGATGAAATTTTTGTCTAGACTTGTCTAGATCACAATTTTGTTCATTAGGGAATAGGTCCATTCTAATCTGTGATTGAGACAATGCCACAAAACAATCTGCGGATACTTCGACTCAAGTAACGTCGCGACTCCTTTGATTGCCCCCGTCGTCACTGATGATCACTGGTAAATGCAATAAAATTTTTGGCCAAGTATTCGTCATTAATTCCGTTACTTTTCGGCGAAGTAAAAGTGATTTATAAATTGAATTGGCGTCTTGACCCCCTAGTTCAATGATAACAGCCAAACCGTTTATGATTGACCTCACATACACAACCAGGCAAGAATCCTTTGAGGTAGCTTCGTCAATTATACTGGCGATCTTTTTGTTCTTTTTGGTAATTTCCTTGATAAGATCATTGCGCACTGTACGTTGTGGCAATTATGTCAATCATTTCTGTACATGACCACCTTGAGTGTAGAGTTACCCCGAGACTTATTCCATTTTTCTGCTGAAGCTTTACAAGATTCTCTTAGTCTGAGTATGGCCTGTTTTCTTTAGCAATATAGTAAGCAGTTCTGAAGCATTTTTGAGTAGCTGAATGATGTTGTGCAACAGACAAGCCAGTTGAGCTCTGGATCTTTCTCTTTTGTCGTTCTTTGAAAATGTTGGTTGCAGTTATGTGTGCATTACTTTTTGCATGCTCGGTGATTTTTTTCGTAAGTACTTTTGTGCTGCTGACGTTTCACGACTCTTCGTTTTGCATGGAAAAACAGTACACTCTATCCATTCTTTACTTATATGGATTCGTTGTTTAGCATGCAGTCCAAGAGTGTTAACGTTTCTACATTGGCGACAACCAATCTTTCCATTTGAAAAAATAATCCAGGGGTATGCACTAGTAAAGTAATCTTGTTGCTTAACAGACCAACATGAAGGTGCATGCAATAGAGTAAATAGATCGAGTTGAATGTTCACAAGAATTCGGAATTTCATTGGAGGGTTAGCGTTTGGCAAATCAACAGAACTGGTTTCGCTCAAATCGTTTCCTATAGTTTCTAGGTTTCCATCAAATTTCCTGTGGTCATTCTCCGTTTCGGAGCTGTCGCTGTCGTTGGTTTCGATCATTTCAATATCTTCGCCTCTCCCCGTATCTAATGAAGCATGAGAAGCATCGGAATTTATTTTATTTATCTGCTTGTTGGAGTCGTTGGTTTGTTGCAAAACACAATTGTCAGCTTGTAGATCTGTATCTTCATTTGAATCTTCAAGAGGGTTTTCTTTACTTTTCTTCGTTTTTGGCATAAAGAAGTGCAACAGAGATGCATGTTTACTTTTTTTAGCCAATTGAATCCTCTAGCCTTCGGCGCGAGTTTGTATATCAGATAAAGATCGGCTGCTCATGTTTAAAATAGTATTTACGGTCCCAGAATAGTATGGACCCAGAATAGTATGGACCCTATAAGGAATTATTTTCGAGTTTAACAGCTTTCAAAACAAACGAAAAATTCTTATGTTTTATAGATATTTTGAAGCGTTTCGACAGGTTACACAAGCCGTCTTGTTCAGCTTTGTTGATAAAACACCCTTCATCACCCTGGACCGGTGGAATGTATTATTTAAATCCTCTTGGACTCAGTACATCGCCATTGGTTCACGTATACTGTGATATGACGTCAAAGAATGGTGTTGCCGGTGTGACGGTGATTGGACATGATAGTGAATCAAGAACACTTGTGAATAGATATGAAAGTGCAGGTTCTTACAAACGAAAGATTAACTATGATATTTCCATAGAACAGATCCTTGCCATTATGAAGCAGTCCAAGAATTGCGAGCAGCTTATAAAATATGAATGTTATGGTAGCATCTTGCTAGGACATCCTCATGGTTGGTGGGTATCACGTCAAGGTTCACCGATGAATTACTGGGGCGGGGCGGCAGTCAACAGCCGAAAATGTGCATGTGGAATGACCAACAGCTGTGCAGGTGGAGGAAAATGTAATTGTGACAAGAATGATTACACATGGCGTGAAGACAGTGGATATCTGACTGACAAGAACACACTGCCTGTTACTGAGCTGAGATTTGGAGATACCGGTGGCTCTAGTGAGAAAGGATACCACACACTGGGAAAATTGCGATGTTGGGGTTAGGAGCGAACGTTTTTGAGGGATAATGCATAAACCGAAACGTTATCACTTAGCAAAACATAGGATAAGTAATATAGAACGCGTCTTTGGTAAAAGTGTCAATAAAAAATAGTTTAACACAAAAGCAGAACTTATAGGACATAATTATCACTAACAATATGCAGTTTCTTACAGCTTTATATAAATTAAAAATAGGAAATCTGTTTTATAATTAAGTAGAATGATAGAAAATGTTGCACTAGAATCTAAATTGAAAAGAATAAAAGTAGATAATCAGAAAATTGTTTTAAATCGCTCCTTTATTTGGGGTTGCACAAAATGGTAGCCTTATAGCATTAAGAAATTGCCCTCTCCATGGGACTGTTTACCAAAATACAGTGAGGTGCCCTTATTTGGTGCCCCAGATAAAGTTACGCAAAAAAACAAATTTATACACACTTGAAATATGCTTGAAACACAAGCGAAATAGGTGATTGAATTACACAACAATTTTAGTTTGTAACTGTCTGAAGGCAATAACGTAAATCAAAGTGCCTTTTGTTTGTGAGTTTGTCATATATTACTATATTACTTTTTAAGAAAGAATCACTATTATTTGGCGCAGTACTACCATGGCTGATCTCATTTCTGAAGATCGGTACCGGCTACAAGGACACTGCCAGGAGAAGCCGGCGATGCAATGGTCCCATACCAGTCGTGCGGACTTACTTCGTCAACAAAGTGCAAGAAGACCAAGATTTGATCGCAGTGCAGCTCGGTTTCCCCCCAACCCCGGGGCTCCCCTCAGCACCGAAAATAGTAGAAAATTACCTTATATGTACTATAAGAACAAAATATCGAAACTATGCGTGACGTTTGTAAGGGGGAGAGGGAATCTTCAGAGAAACGAACATATGATGTTTCTTGTGGACAAAATCGATATGTGAGGCTTCCCTTAAAGTATTCTAGATTGATACAAAAATGTTGCAGCAGAATATTATATATTTCGTGTCCTTTCTTATTTGTGTCAGTTTCTGAAAATGCTATATACCTTGAGATTATTAAGAAATGAGCTTTCTTTAGAACAGATCTATATTTTAGCTTAAACCCTCAAGTGGCAGTTTGCAAATCTGTAGTTTACACCCTTTCTAGCTTACATACTTAATGACAAATGTCTGACCCAGCTTTTTTATCTTGATAACCTATATACAGTGCTTTAATTGAATATATATACATACGTCATCGATATATCCCAACCTTGCGGAAAGAAGGAAACACCCACTGGAGTAATAAAGGAATACCGAATGGTTTTCCGTGCAGGATTGCGTGATCCATGCACGCGGGATGTTGCGAGACTTTCGGAAAGCGTAAAAATTTTCCGAAAGTTGAGCAACATCCCAAGTGCATGGATCATGCTATCCTGCACGGAAAAACCATTTGGTAATTGTTTTATAAAATTACTACAGTGAAACGACGCTTAACTTGATTAAAATTACTGATGAAATGTGCAGTTCTCACAACATTCGTGAATTAACCAATCAGAGAATCGCTACTCCACGCTATGTCGCTATTGAAAACAACAACATATGTGAACTGAATTTGATCCCAAATTCGCGAAAATATACAGCAAAAATACAGGGACTTTTTCGATAAAATATACGAAATTTGAAATGGAAAACCCGCTAATTAAACAGAGAGCCAAAGTAGTTTTGAAGATTCTCGACCTGAATATGTGAAGATTGCGAAGCGTTTGATCAACTTTGAAGCGAGAGATGTTGTATACTTGCATGCCATGGTCTGATGAATAATTTTCAACGCTACGCGTTGCCACTTGCTGAATAGCAATATATCGATCAGAAATTTATTCATACAACTAAACCAACGTCTCAATAATTGGAAACTTACTTCAAAGTCGAAAGGTATCGTACAATGAAACTTTACAATGCGAGTATATTTGTAAAATTATGTGCAAGAATTTCTGTTCAGAATTTCCCGTGCAGGATTGTCTGATCCTGCACGGCTGTTGACCAATCAAATTGCGTGTTTCACTGTAGTTATTATATAATCCCTCTTCCCAACTAAGAAACACATGTACACTATATATACTTCGATTTATAAATTTACTTGCATGGAAATTAACGTGCATGCCACGTCACAAATGTAGCTGAATAACAATGACCCAGCTTGTGAGTACGCTGAAAAACGTTTGGAAGTGGACCAGGGAAAATCTTCCTGGTTATTCTATAGCAAAGTCGATTACTTCGAATGATCTTTTTCGAATTGTCGAAATAAATCTGCAATAATCCATTATGCATGTTACGTTATTTTGCATGATGTTATTAAATTTGCAGAACTTGGCCATATAGGATTGTATGTTGTGTGGATAATGTCGAATTATAAATGAAATTTGACATCTGAAGTGTGTTTACCTATGAATAATTTTCTTCTTTAAGAAGCTAATCTTGGAGAATTAATTCATTTGAAATTCATCAAACATCAAACTACACAAAAGGAGTGATTTCGAAATTAAAACTCGCTCAAAGGAAAATAAGAGATGATGGGTTGACAAGCGAGAGTTTGCATCAGTGTTTTCCCATGCAACTCTGCATAATGCCCCGGTCAAACAAGAGTTGCATGAGAGTTTATTATATAATTATTCCTTGTAGAGACCAGACTTTACGAGTCAAGCTCACATTAACTGTCATCAAAATTTCAACGAGCTCAAAGTTGATGAGAGATGATGAGACTTGGCAGTCAAACGAGTTGCAACTCTCATCCTCGTTTGACTGGCGCTTGATAAACCGAAGATATATTTATCATATCGTAAAAATTGATTAACGATTTTTCGTACTTTGTTTTGAAACATTCCAATATTGGTCTTATACACGATATGTACACTGTAATTAACGTTTTCGTATCAGCCTTCGCTCTTTTTAAAAGACATAACATGTATAAACGTCTCGAAGATTTTTTTACAATATAAGCAACGTGCATGTTCATTCCACTTGAGATCACTGCTAAGCATTTTAAAAGCCCAATAGTTTTGCAGACTTTACTTGTTCAACAGGATAGTCGTTTACGGTCAGTTGATGAAAGTTAGGTTTCGTTTTCCAAAAACAAATTAGGATTTCCTTACACTTCCGGGCGTTATATCAGTTTTCAAAATTTAAGCCCACCGGTTCTCCGTTACTGCGTATGTGTATTATACAATTGTGAATTGTATGCATGGCATGCGATTTCTAATATTCTATAGTAACTATATCTTATTTACTGAAGGGCTTGAATCCGGGTTTTTCCATTAATTTTAGTTTATTGTACGATCATCCAGATTAAAATTGTTATATTATTTCTGACGTTTCGGCTACCTACACGGCAGCCATTATCAAAGACATATTACAGTTACAAAAAAATTTACAGTTATAATGTTATCTTGCGTCAAAAATGACGTGCGCGTGTTCGTGATGTTGTTTGCTCGCGCCTGCGTTCAAGGCATGAGAGCCTGCGTTCATGCGCGATTAGTCCAGCGTATGCTCCTGGCATATCGCGGCAAATGTTGATGCTGTTTTCATCGCATTTTGTAATCGCGCATGAACGCAGGCTCTCATGCCTTGAACGCAGGCGCGAGCAAACAACATCACGAACACGCGCACGTCATTTTTGACGCAAGATAACATTATTATAACTGTAATTTTTTTTGTAACTGTAATACGTCTTTGATAATGGCTGCCGTGTAGGTAGCCGAAACGTCAGAAATAATAAAACAATTTTAATCTGGATGATCGTACAATAAACTAAAATTATATCTTATTTCTTATATTCGGTCGCATCTTTGCTGAATACTAAATTCCCCTTATTACGTTTTCGGAGCGCTTTGCATTGTGCATGGTTATAGTGGTATCACTGATATTCAGGATGGCTTTTTTTTCGTCCTGACCCGTGCAAGAACTTTTAAAGAAAGCTAGGGTCAGGTGCGCGATAGCCAACAGCAAAATATTCGCGAAAACATTCAATATTTTCATTCGAGGCCACTATCTTTATCAACGAAAACAAATAAGGGGAATCATCAATTGCTTATATACTGTTTTGGTTATATAGGGAAGCAATTTTATATATGGTAAATATTATATCGTCAGCTGAAAGCGAGAGCTGCCCATTGGATATATAACTGCATATCTATTCTTCACATGCATGCATGTGTGTAATCAAGAAAGCGAAGCATACATAACAGATAAGAAACTTTGAAAATGATTTATATATAGGGCGTCCCAAAAAAATGTCACCAGAACTGAGGAACGACCCTGAAAATAAGAGAGCATATAGCAAAAACCCGGGCATAAAATAACCACTATTTTTATGTCAGGCTATTCAAGTGGTTCTTATATAGGTGTATTGAGTGAGAAATCAGCTGAGTTGATTCTTAACTGGTTGTTTGTGTTTCTAGTCGAAAACAATTGTTCCTATAGTTTGGTGTTTTAAATTATTTGTTTTCCTATAATTATTAAACTGTTGATTAGTGCTTAATTTCCTAAATTTCAGGCTGCTGTTTCTAAATTATAATTAGCCTACTGTTTTTTTAAGCGGGTCTTTACTGTATGTATAAATGTGGGCATGACCATGGTTAAGAAAACACATCAATGTGGCTTTTTGAACAACCGTATAAGGGTTTATCTACTGTAGGTATACCTGCATATAGCTTAATTAGTAGCTAGTTATAATTTAATTCATGCATGGTCCACTGTCTCCACTAAAAATATGTAACTTATATCAATGCCAACATAGTAATACCACAAAACATAGTGCATGGGGGCATGTTTGGATATCCTGTACATGTAGAGTCTTTGTAAGTGTAATGTATAGAGTTTCCCAAGAAAGGCAAACGAATATATCAAGAGTATATTTAAGGAGTGCATCTGCGCGATGTGACCTTTCATTAATTGTTCAGAATGCAAATTCTGCACTTCAGGAACAAACATACTTTTTGAAAGTTGGGCTGCCCTCGTCGCATCTGCTGTGATCGCTTTGCCAAGAAACTCATGCAAGAACGAAGAAACATTTTAATAAAAAGAGATTTAACCATACAGCAGCTTCATGCAGGAAGTCACAGGCAAAACAATGAATAAAATAATTTGAAACGTGGCATAAGCCTGACCATATTAAGATATCTTAATCCTCGTGTTTGGATAATGTACAATGAAATTTGACAAAGTTAAGTGTGTTGACCCAGATTATTGAGTTCCTTCAGTAGTAAAATAAATATTACTAATAATGAATTCAACATTCTGAGCGTAAAATAGGGAATTAAATATTCAGTATATAATTATTGGCTTGCTATAATCCCAAATGTCCTATCTTTCTTGCATGGTCAATAAGTTACACTGGAAAAAAACTGATAGTGAAATTCATACTATGAGATTTGCGATTGCATCACTATCTCCATAGTAAATCCATACTATTACGTGTACCATACTATATCCATAGTATATCCATACTATTACCATGCTATATCATAGTAGCCTATACGGAAATTGCGATTTGTTTGAAAGTTGGATTTCCATACTATTTTCAATTAAGTTCCATACCAATAGTACTATTTCCATAGTTAGGATTTGAGAAAAAAATTCCAGTGTTATTCCTAAAAAGGGCTCTCATGGGGTCTCGTATATTTAATCCATCATGTTACGTTATCTTGCATGATCTTATTAATCTTCCAGAACTTGGCCATTCAAGATTGTATATTTGTATGTTGTGTGGATAATGTCGCATTATAAATGAAATTTGACATCTGAAGTGTGTTTACCTGTATGAATAATTTTCTTCTCTAAGAAGCTGATTTGGAGTATTGATTCATCAAACATCAAACTACACAAAAGAAGTAATTTCTAAATTAAAACTCAGTCAAAGCAGGATAAGAGTTCATGAGGGTTAACAAGCAAGAGTTTCCATGAGAGTTTTCTCAACTTTGATGCCTGCCCCGGTCAATGATTTTCGAGTTTTCTCAACTTTGATGCCTGCCCCGATCGAGTCATGCACATGAGCGAATGGACCATTTGCATTAGACTAAATTTTGATCTAGACAAAAATTTCATCACAGCTTGAAAGAGCATCACAAAATTAGTAATATTCCAAAGTTTCGTTGCGAAATGTTGTAAAATGCGGATAACATAGCCTTGCGAAGTTTGCCGTTTTTCAGTCATTTTGTATTACGCACGGGAAATTGACAGCCCAATCGCGGGTGTTGGGGCATCAGTTTCCCGTTTGTAATCTAAAATGACTGAAAATTGCAAATTTCGCAAGGCTATATTATTCGCATTTTACAACATTTCGTAACGAAACGTTAGAATATTACTAATTTTGTGATGCATGCTCTTTCAAGCTGTGATGAAATTTTTGTCTAGACTTGTTTAGATCAAAATTTAGTTTATAATGCAAATGGTCCATTAATCAGAGATTATCAGTCAAACGAACCAAAGCTCACATTAACTCTCATCCTCGTTTGACTGGCGCTTGATAAACCGAAGATATATATTTAACATATCGTAAAAATTGATTAACGATTTTTCGTACTTGGCTTTGAAATACTGTATAGAAAACAATGTCAGTAAATCAAAAATGACGGTAGAGTTTCATGAAGTAATAATAAGAAAATCACATATAACTCTTATTTTATGCTGATCCATATGCAAGGGAACCAATAATGAACACCCATGCAAATGGATAACATAGTCTGCAACTTCTGCAATTAAAAGATGCTTGGTCAGGACCGGCTGTGGAACACTCCCCCCCCCCCCCCA